TTTACTAATCTGTATTCAATTCTATTAATTAAATCATTAAACTCATCTGTAGATAAAGTTTCATGAGCTAGTAACATTTCTTCTACAAAGACTTTGTCAGGATGTTTAGATGCTATTTGCAAATCATTAATCCATTGTTCGACCTTATCTGGCATTTCATTTGCTCTAAATCCATTTGGAAGATTCGTAGTATTTGTATCCTTACCAATTAAAAAGAACATAACTTTTTCATAAAACTATTTGCCAAAACTAACCATTATTTGAATCTCTATATTTAGTTTATCATTTTGCAAAAAACTATAAAATATTTTCCATTTTTTTAAATAGCTTTCAGGAATTTTGTTTGCTTTTTCTAGTTGATTAATAAACCAACTAGAAAATTGTAAATGAATATCTCTTTGATTTAAATACTGTTTTGCTATAGTTAATTGGTATAACCAACGGGTTGAGATAGGTTTTGATATTTCTTAAGATCATAATTAAGTAATGCTTTATATAATTCGCTAATCTTTTCTGCTTTCATATTTAATAGATTGTCTTTATCAGATTCGTTATACCCGCAGTGAAGATAATAAGCCAAATTAAGAACATTGAACGGATGTGGCTCTAAGCAAATTCTTAAAAGAGATTTAGTTTTTCCAAATGTTGTATCATTAAAATGTACTGAAGCTATATATAATGCATGTAGACCACAAGGAATTCGAGTTGCTTTTGCTGAATATTGCTAATTAAATTTAACAACAGCACCAGCGGTTGATCCTGACATATAAGCTGTATTATCGGTAAGCCAATATTGACATTGTGCTGGATTTAATAAGTTTTTACTAATAGCTTCTCCAATACTTAAAGATACTGTGGATGCTGAACAATGATCCAAATCTTTCATATTAAGGATAGTAAGCATAGATTCTTGTTTGTTTTCATTCCAGTAAGATATACATACTAAAAATATTTTTTTTTCTTCTCTAGTACTTTCGTCTCCTAAAATTCCATATGAGCTAAATCAATTTAAAAATTGAGGTATATTATCTTGTATAGAAATTTTTGCTACTTCTTTTGTCTATCGTGATAAAGTACTTGGAGATAAGCATGACTTAGGAGGCTGACCAGTAAGAAATGTTATAATTTCTTTTGTGTATTGTATCGTTAATGATATTGAAGTATGACCAAAAGTACTTAAATTCATAGCCATAGAAACGAACTCAGATGTATATTCACGATTATTTTGTTTAATTTTTTAATTATAGCTTTTTCAATATTTTTATTTGATATTTTCTTTTTTTTCTAATAGATGATCTAATTTTGGAAGTATATTTACTTTTAGATCTTTTAAAATGGTTGAGTTTAATCATTAACGATTTTGTTCTATGA